ATGAAATAAGCTGGTTCATACTTGGCCTAATTTGAAAAATCATAGTTTAAGTATAGTATAGCTTGGATTAGATAACTTTCCAAGATTCTTTTCATCTATAGAAATGTGAGACTGATAGCAGAGTAGGTTGTAGGAAAGGAAAGAATCAGAAATTTATACATGAAAAAGAAGGAAAAAGAGTGAATGGGTAGAATAAGAAATAACACACACAGAAGAAATTTAAAAAGGTAATGTAGAAGAATCATAAGTTTATGAAAATATGAAAGTAACTGAAATAATACAATTCTCAACTTTCTTTTTAATGTCTCAAATGATTAACTTGAACTTATGCTAAACATTTTGTTACGAACAGGTAACACAATGTAGAGCAAACACATACATCAAGGTATAGAAAAGATTTATATTAATCAATTCTACATAGAAATGGAAATTCAATATAGTTAAGGAATTCTACCTTGAGTGGAAACTTAGGTCTTTTATTTTAGTTTTTTATTATTTTCTAAGATTTTATTCATTTATTTTTTTGAGAGAGCACATGCAAGTGAGCTGGGTGGTGGGGGAGGAGCAGAAGGGGAAGGTGAGGGAGAAGCAGATTCTGTGCTGAGCAAGGAGCCTGATACAGTGTTCTATCTCCCCACCCATGAGATCATGACCTGAGATGAAATAAAAAGTCAGACGCTTAACCGACTGAGCCACCCAGGTGCACCTCAGAAACTTAGGTCTTTTATTTTATTTTATTTTTTTAGAGATTTTATTTATTTATTTGACAGAGAGAGACACAGCGAGAGAGGGAACACTAGCAGGGGGAATGAGAGAGGAAGAAGCAGGCTTCCCGCTGAGCAAGAAGCCTGATGTGGGCTGGATCCCAGGATGCTGGGATCATGACCTGAGCAGAAGGTCTGGTGCCCCAGAAACTTTTAGATTTATCATTCCTGATTTTGAAATAAAAACAATTTGATTCCATATTATATAATTCGTGGCTAAAACTGTGTACTGTTTTTAATCTATGGCTGAAGTCTTCCTTTTGCTCATAATTATAATAATAACCTAAAGAAGAGAAATCTTTAAAAAGTATGTATCATGGTGGATATAGCAACATATAAGTTATTTTTTTTTATTACTATATCACCTCTTCCCTTCTTCAGTCAGGGTTTCTATTGTTTCAAACTTGACTTAAGTATATATGGTCAGGCAAACTTTGGGTTTGGTGAGAGAGTGTTGTTATCAGTTATAATGAAGGGAAGTTTTAGATCAAATACCACTAAGCATACGAATACTTATTAAACAAACAAGGAGTTACAAAATAGTTGATACTTCTGTTTTATAAGCTTCATTATATTCCAGCTGTTATTTAGGATTCTTTGATAGCACTTTGAATGAAAAATGCATTCATATATAAAATACGAAAATTCACTCATATATAAAATATGAAATATGAAATATTAAAATGTGCTTATTTATAAAATATAAACATATTTTAGGGACAAGAATTCTACTACCCTTATATTTGTCATCTGGCACCATAATCCTTCAAAGCAGTGAGTGCACACACAACACCAATTTCAGATGCTTTATATAATTGTACAACTTACAAAGTTTGTTGCATTCTTGTACGTGTTCATGAAGATGGAGTAGTGTTTCTGAAAATATCAAATCTACAGATTTGAAACACCACTAATCTTTTTTCTTCATTGAAAAACGTCTTTTTCAACATTTAAATAATATTCATGAAATTTATTTTCAATTATCTCTTGTGTTGCTCATTAGAGACAGGCAAAGCTGAAACACCTTCTGATTAAATGTTAGTTGTACAGAATTGTCTATAACAAAGTAAAAATCATTATTTAAAAAAAAAAGATTTGTTTATCCCTTAGAGAGAGAGAAGTGGGGGAGCAGAGGGAGAAGGAGAGAGAAAGAATTTCAAGCAGACTCCCTGCCATGTGTGGAGCCTGGTGTGGGCTCAATCACAGGATACTGCTATCATGACCTGAGCAGAAATCCAGAGTTGAATGCTTAACCGACCAAGCCACCCAGGCACCCCTAACAGAGTAAAAATCACTATAATCTCCCTACTCTCCCATTGTTTCTTTAGATACTCACTGTTACCCTCCCAGATTTTCATCTATATAGAAAATCAGTCTGTATATGCACTTATAGAAATATTAAAAAAAAAAAAAAAGACTGTCCTAGTATGCAAACTACTTTTTTTTTTCCTACAGAAAAAAAAAATCTGATTTGGTATTCAAGGAACATAATAATCTATCCTCCCAACAAGAACTCTCCACACTCATTTTTCAATGTTTTATCCTATACATGCAATGTTTCAGCCTCTCTGGACTTCTCATAGTTCCCTGCATATGCCATGCTCTTTCCAGATTCTCTTCCTTTGATTATTACATTCTTTACCTAGAATGCCTTTACTTTTCTTTTCCATCTGGCTAAATATTTAAAATCTACTTGGTATTAATGGAAATGCATAAATCATAATTACTCTTGGTGAATATAGACTAGGGAAGGATACAGTGTGAATTGAAGGCAAAAGCCACAGGGAACCGACATGTCTTTGTCCTATTTAGTATCTTAGAGAGAATTCTATAGATATGTTAGAGGATTAGGAAAAGTTGAAGAAAAAGCAAATACAATGATCTTAGTCTAAGATGCTTTAGCTTGCATTATTTGTTGATGACTTCAGCTTTTATATAAATATTTTGAGCAGTCTTGACAGTATAAAATAATGTTCATCATGAGTATAACAAAAGGTGTATGTAAAATGAAAGCGATGAGAAAGGACTGCTATGGGGGGAAATATAAGTTGTATTTGCCTGTTCAAAATTTTTGCCTAGTTTACCTCCTAAAATAATTTGGAAAATTGACACACAACTTTCACATTTTAAAGTTGCTATCAAAAACACTTTTTAAAATAAATTTAAATAGCTACAGAGGTTATAGTTAAAAATATACATTGTATGTGTGTTTTAAATACATTTTCTCAAAACTTTGGTGTTGTCTATTTCCTTGAATCATGAAAAACGTTCACCATATAATCCATGGGCTAAATCAACGCTTATTGCCAAACTACTTAGCCACGTCAGACTTGACAATCAATAACAAAACTGACTTCATTTTTTAGATCAAATAAACATATTAATACACTCCATGAAAACCATCTCACTTCTGAATTCTAATTGTGAGATAGCTGTATAGATTGATTTGTAAGCAATCAAAAGGACTGACAGAAAGACAGTCTTGCCAGGATAAAATAAGCATCATCCCCTTTCATTTTTCTTGCTTTGTTCAAAAGGATTGACCCCAGGATCAATGCATTCTTGAATTATCTCTTTGCTTACATTCTGGAGACTTTTACACCCAGGAGGCAGTGCACCATAACAATGTTTGGGATGGGTGAGAAATAAGCTTTCTTTTTTGTAAAGTAAAAAGAGGGCAGTTGTGAAAAGCAAAAGAGTAAAGGGAAGCTGGTGGCTTGCAAGTGCTTGCATTCTCAGGCAGATCAGTTTTAGGAAAGAGCATATATGGAATTTGAGAATTTGGATATAGATTCCATTTAGACATTTATATCTGCATTACCCATGAAAAATCTGTTTACATTTTCCTGAGGTGGATTGTGTCCTCTTAACATCGTAGGCATTATACAGTATGAGTACAAGATAAATTGATTTTGTGACACCCATAATATATTTTCTGGTGGTTTGGTAAATACCAAGTACCTTTTCTATCTCTTACATTCAAGAATGTACCAGGTATTGCTATTCTGTGGTTTACGAATTAAAAGCCAAGAGGGAGATGAGTATGTGAATGCTCAGAAGAGAAAGCTATGCAAGAGGAGAAATCCCTTTCCCCAAATGTAAAGTGTAAAAGATGAAGAGTTTGAAACTCTAAAAATAGGCAAAAGATATCTTCAGGGATTTTAATGAGTTCAACAGTGCAGTGGTATGCTGGATGTGATATTTGTTTTCTGAAAATACATTTTGATCTGGTGAACAAGAATGGGATTAATTATTAATCCCTTCCCCAAGTAGTGTGGACTAACCATTATTTATATACAATCAATGAACTTACAACTGGGATTTTCCTGTAGCATGTGAAATTTCAAATTTTACCTGAAAAGCTCTTCACTTCTAGCATAAAACATAGCCAAATAAAAATGGTCAGACTTTTTAAATTTATTTTTTATTCTCACTTTAGAAAAGGAATTTTTTTATTTTAAAGATTAGTTTACAAGAATATTATAAAAATGCTTAAAATAGGTGTTCACATCAATATTGATTTAGCATTCTAAATGGAATATATTCTAAATATGCAACATTACTTGTGGACTTCATCTTTTGTATTGAGTTGCAATGCAATATAACATAAGTTCAGCCAACATTAGGAAAGCTTCTGTTGAGCTAATTGTTTAGCTGTTTGCAGATTCTGTAAAAATATTTGTATTTTAGCTGTGCTAAATTTCTGGTATACAATGTGATACCAATTTTATTCCCATTCCTGTATTGTGCTAATTTTTTTAAACAAGAACCTGTGTTAAAGTTGAAGGAACGCCAGATAGTGCTTATAGCTCAGAAATATAAAACACAGTCTGTGGTATAATAAAAAAAAATATTCCATCAAGTTCAGAGATTGGGGATAAAAAACTACCCATTTGCTTTTTTGTAGAAGCAGTAGCAATCTGTAGACAAGCTATTCTAGCTTCAAAACAGTATGGTAGATGGTTTTATGGAACTTGCAATTACAGAAATCCACTTTAACCTTTCTTTCTTACTGGCAGGTGTCCCATTGGCTTGCAGCCAGAGGCTGTGAGTGTAGTGCAGCCAGTGTGTCCCCCAGAGTGCTGAAAATGCCCACACTCCAGCTGGCTGCTCATAATTGCACTGATTGTGGTCTGACAACCCAGAGCTCTAAGAAAGAAATGTGATGAATATACGAAAATACTTTACAAATCTGATCAGATTACAAATTTCATCTCTCTTTTTTCTCCTCTATAGATATGATATCTGCACTTATAAAAATAAGCCCTGTGGAACATTGGGTAAGTTTTTTTTATAAAGGGAGGACAGTTCAGATTGTCTTTTTGGTCCAGTGGCTTTAGTTTTTATCATTAATTTGGTCATTTTCCTTTCTGGCACATCTGAAATTACTCCTATAAATTGTTAAACCTGACCCATGTGGGTATGTCACTTACTAGGAAACAAGTAAAATGATGACTAAAAACAACTTAGAAGATGATTCTAAAATCTTCAAACAATAATGGTGAATCAAAAGTTACCAGTCTATAATGTATTTTCCAAAAATCCCAAGGAATTTGAGAGCAAATGAGAGCTTGCAACATCTTCAAATATCAGGCTAGGAAAGGAAAGGGGGAAAATTGGGGGTATACTTAAAAGGGAGACATTGTGTTCTTAATATACCTTGGTACAATTTTCTGGAGCAAGTATATTCCTATAAATGAAGATATTGGCAATTTTCAGTATCTGAGCAACAATAAAAAAAAAAATGTAAAATATTACAGCCAGCAGTAGAGAGAGAGGACAGGATTATCTTTCTTGTGCTTCCCAGATATTTGTTTTTTTAAAAAGCATTTCTGCAGTATTCTAGAATTTAAAACATCACATTTTGTTGTAGAACATAACTTCATTCTGGTTAAAAGTTAACTGCAAATACAAATGGGAGGAAATGATAGCTTTCAAGTAGACTAAATTGTTAAGCAACCAGAGTTATTTTTAAGAATGGGAGTTTTTTTTTTCTAAGGTAATTTTTTTAGTGTCATAGAGACTTGCTACAGACTCAAAAGTTAAGCACCTGAAGGTGAATTTTCTAGTTTCTCTATGACAAGTCTCAGTTTTCTTGTCTGTAAAGGAACAATTCTGAAATCTATTCCTATGCCCCTCATAAGAATTTTGGGAAGATCAAATTTAAGTAGAGGTGGGAGAAAAGGTGTTACCCAATTTCCTGGGGAAATTCAAAAAGTCCTCTCTTTAGAGATTAAAATTTCTCTTGATTTTTATCTGCCTTTCCAGTCTTCTTCTATTCCATTTCCCTCAGGGTTTAAGTCTAAAGAAGAAATCCCAATTAGCCAACGATCAGTATTTAGGGTAGAGAAGTTTGCTGGTTAAAAAGTATAATGTAGAAAGAGCTTTCTCTGCTTAGAGATTTCAAATAAAAAAGATTTAGTTTTTTAGGCTAACAAGAGCAATACAATCCATTGGAAAGGACCCTGAAGTGGAAACTGGAAGCTAACAACTGGCTTTGACATTTTCAGTGCATTATCTTTCCCACTTTATTTAGGTCTTTGTTCCTCAATTCCTTATCTATGAAGTAGGAGAATATCTCCCCTTATGTGACAGGGATATTGTAAAAATCACTTAAAGGAAAAAAAAAAATATGAAGATGTTTAATAAAGAAGTACTTTAAAAATGTACTGGTATTATTATTTGTTGTGGAAATTATACTGTTTAACTTAACCTCTCTGTTATTTTTCAATATCTGTAAACATTTGCTAAGTGCTTGATCAACTTTAAATACGATAGACACTAAGCTTCAAAGGAGGTATAAGCTAGAGTTTGTATTTTTCCTATATATACATATTCTGAGGAAATACATATATATATATATCTACCCATTCTATCCTGCTTTTTGAAGGTAGATTGTTTGCACTAAGATGTATTCTTCATTAGGACATTGGTAATAACACTGCCTGTACTTATGTTGTTATTTTTACCAAAGTAGATTCAAAATATGCTTCTACCCTACATCTCTTTCTTTCCCAAATATATTTCCCAATTTTTATAGCTTAATTTCCAAAATCAATACATTAATACTTTGATACATGTCAATGCATTTTCAAGCTCAGTATAAATTATTTTTCAAATTATAAACCATTATAGATTATCTTTTATACTATCTCATGGTGAAAACTGAATGACTGCATATAGATACATGTGTTGACTTTCATATGTGAAAAATATATCATCAGTACAGAATTGGTCAGGTTTTTTTCTTTTTGGATGGTCATTCTGGCAACTTTCATGTTGGTTTTTATGCTAATACTTGCATATTATCTTGCTTAGTACCTATGATGACCAATTGTAACATGGCTAAGTAGATTTAAGGGTGCAAACTGTGGCCATCAAACTGAGGAAATCTAAATGACCCAAATAGTAATCAAACCCCTATTAACACAATCACACGTAAGAACTTTGACAGCCTCAATTTTATAGGACTACAGAAAGTTGTAGGGGGTGTGAAAATAGATTAGCGTCTTAATTATTTTATTTCAGTAAACATTTAGCTCTGTATTTTTAACTAATAGTTATTTCCAAATATGTTCTTCCTGAAGTTGTTCTTTTAATAGAACAACTAAGTTAATTTTATATCAGATAGAGATGTAAATCTGTGCTTGCAAATATACCTTGGGGAGTCATTGAGAATTCTCTGTTAAAAATATTACCATATGGTATATACTAAACAGTCACAATAACAACAAACAAAAATTTAAACCATGGAATAATATATTTTGGGACATATAAGAAATGTTAATTTAACAATAATTACTCTCAGTAATTCTTTTTTAACCAAATTTCATAAAGCTCAAAACAGAAACAGTATTCAAACACTGTGGCTTTGTTCTTCCCATATCATGATGATATTGAACTCAATAGCTTAGCCAGATAATCTACTAAAAACTTTTTTGGTATTCTTTCTCTCCCAACTTTCTCTCAGTGGAATTTAGAACTAACATTTATTAAATATTTTTAATTAACCAAAAATTTAAGTCACTTTGCCCCAACTAGTCCCTCTTTTTACTTCCTCTTCTTTAGGTCCCAAGACTTCTAAGTAGATAGAAGGGCACAGCAAGGATAAAACTAGTATTTACAATAACTCAGAGGCAGAAATCAACCCTTTCCCCAGCTCCTTCCACATAAAACAGTAGGAAAAGCAAACAGTCTATTAGCAAATCTAGCACTGACCTCAAATCTGTTCCAGTGTGGCTATTGTGTTCATATTTTACATTGGAAGGTACATAAAAACAATTTCTGGAGCTTTCTTGTCAGTAAAAATATTAATTGAATAGCTTTTACTGTTCCAAGTTAGTGTCACTGGGAAATTATACATAGCATGGAACATTGCTTACTACAGTCAGTAAATATTCATTGAATTAGATTCAAATCACTTTTTGTGGTTAAATAATTATTATTTGGATAACGATAGTAGACTAGTAACATATAAAATGTTTTTCCTACTTTTTCTTCAATTTCTTTTAAATAACTTTCGTTCCTATATGTGTTAAGTATAATTTGGCTTCTGTTTCCTTATAACACATAACATTTTTCACACAAAAATTCTTTTTTCTGAGTACTGTTTTAAAGTTATGTACTAATTCACAGGGCGTGATATTCATTTGCAAGTAAATATGAAAGCTTTTACAAGCTAAAATTCCCAAGGGAAGAATACCTTGAGAACGTAACATTTCACTAGAATCAGTGAATTAACACTGTAGTTTTGGTTTATTAGTAAATCTAATGTGCTGAAGGGGGATGGGAAAGGGGATAACCACTTACTGTGCAAATGTCTTTCTTTCCATTAAAATACCTAAATAAATTGTTGCATCACTATCAGGACTTATTTCAGAAGATTAAAAAAATGCAAAACCTTCTATTTTTAACAGTTCTCATTTTTCTCTTTTGAATCATTCATTTTTGCTTTTATTAAAAAATATCATTAAAAAAACATTTGGGATTCCCTTTTTTTGGTAACTAAAAAGTTGCTTGTGTATTTTTATGAACCCACTAAACTTAAACAGATCTCTTTAGAAAAATAATGTGGATATATTTTGCTTTCTACAGCCTGAAGAATGTTAAAATAGAAATGCTTTCTTGAATTCCCTCTTCTGGCTCAAGTTACTAGGTGGTCCCAAGTTACCAGAAGTAAAATTTATAAATCTAACCCCTAGTCTAGACATTTTCCAGCACTGACTGCAGTTCAAAAAATATTAATGTCTAGCCGGCAAAGTGAAACTCCCCCCAGTGATTTTGCAAATGACTAGAAAGTTAACCTTTTGCCAGCTGCTCCTTCTGTGCATGGAGGTTATTAAAAAGAATCCAGGCATTTATAAGTATGGGCTTTTTAAGACTGAAACACCTTGGCTTGACCCTTTGTGTCTCCTTCTGTTTATTCAGGCTTGGCCTCTGTGGCTGGAATGTGTGAGCCTGAAAGGAGCTGCAGCATTAATGAAGACATTGGCCTGGGTTCAGCTTTTACCATTGCACATGAGATTGGTCACAAGTGAGTGAGTTGAAGAAAATCAAAATAAATTTTAGAACTCCACTCTTTTGAGCAACTCATAACTACTGTGTAGAGTGCCTGTGCCCAAACATACTTTACTGCCTTTTTGTCTGATTTCAGTAGAGAATGTTATCATTTGGGGTATTGGGATAAATCATCTTAAGAACTGGAGACTTGTTAAATAATCTTTCTGATTCAGTGACCCATATTTTTAGAGTGGTGAATGAACCACACTTAAGTTTTGTTATATATATTTAAAATAATTTACCTTTAGCATGGTCTGCTTATCACCCAGTTCCTCGAAGTTAAATTGTTTAAATGATCTTTCTTTTCCTCAAATGACAGTACCAATATATTTTAAAATCATCATTGATACCACTACCATAAAATCTACTTTGACTTTTCACTCTTCATATAGCTGTGAACATACCTTTTCCAGACATAAAGTTTGTGCAATCAGTGCTATGTAACTTATGTTTTCAGGTGTAATATGTCATTGAAATTAAAAAATTAAAAAAAAAAAAAACCAGTCCAAACCGATGTTACAAAAAGTAGTGAGATATCATTCTCATCACATTTTAGGAGTATCTGGAGTTCTTAATATTTGTTTTAAATAATTCTGTGCCAAAAACTGTCCTTTGGCTATCCCCCCACATGCACACACATAGCAATAAAATCCTGACATTCTTTTTTTCAAACAACAGGCAGTAGTAAATGTAAAAGCTTGTTCATGTGGAAGGAGAGAAATTTGAAAACTTTAAAAGGATAGTCAAACATTTTCAACTAAAACAAGCAGCCTACTTGCAGGAACTCCTGACATTTGTATGATTTAAGTTTTACAGTCTGCTTTTTGGTAAAGAAATGGATGTGGAAAAAAGAACAAATGAAAATGAATGTTTAGTATACGCTGGCCTTGGAGGTCATTCCTGAGATAAATCTGTAGTTCAGCTTTTTTTTTTTTCCCCCCAAATTGGAGAGTGAAATTGAGTCAGTCTGTTGCATTATTTTGTAGATCATGATTTAAATTTTACCAAATTAGTGTTGATTTAAGTATAAAGGTGAGTAACCAAGTTTAAACCTAACTTGATTCAGACATGAGGAAAAGTCAGTATTACACTTTTAACGAAGGCCCAGAAATATTGGTATTCTAGTTTTCATTGCAGTAAACAGCCAAGGGAATGGAAAGGGAAGGCCCTCCTAACCAGTCAGTTTATCTTCAATGCACTTAGAAGTCTGGCTCATTAATGACTGTCCTAATCTTATGCAACCAGACTGAATTTAATAGGTTCTGCTAGATTCAATTAAATTGAAAGGTTAGGACAAGTAACATACAGCTGACGAATAATGTGTGTATGAGAGCACTGTTACCTCATGCAGTCACAAGTTAGTCAATGTCAACATATGCATTATAAGTTTCCTTCTTTTATGTACTTAAATAGCTGAGGTAAGGGTTTATCTCTCTTTGTATCTTTTATTGTGATGAAGATTCTAACTGACCAGCTCTCAGCCTTCCTAGATTTTTGTTACTGTTATTGGCCTCTTGAGTAATTGCTCTTAATTCTTCCTAAGATGAATGGCATGTGCCTTATATAGGGGATTATGAAAGAGAAGTAGAATATGAATTAACCTTTTAGGATTTATATGCTTTGAAGTAACTTTATTTCACAGCTAATTCTTGTTTGATAATGTGACTGATAAAATGAGGAGGGGGCATATACAAAATGCTTTATATTGAGAGCCAAAAGAAATGCTTCCACTCAAAAATGTTATTTGACAAGCAAAAAATCAGCTATCCTATGTCCAGTTGATTAATATGTCCGTATCTTCCATTCCCTTTTCCCCAGACAACCTGGGCAGGGTATGTTTAACATATATTTTTCGATATATCAAATTATTATTTGCTCAGTTAGGGAAAGTCTCTTTTATGAATGAAGATCCTTTTACTTGTTTTTAAAATCTTAGTGTTTAGCTTTAAGAAACTTAAAAAGTCAACTCTAGCACAACTCATGGCATCCCTAAAATACTGTGTTCCCTATTCTTCCTGAGATAAAGCAATAGCCATGGTAAATATGTCAAGTATAGTTTTCAGTTTAAGTTTATTGAAGTTTTATAACTTGTATCATTTAGTTGGATGGATGTTAAGTGATGTGATGATATCTGCAGATTTATCACAATGAAGAATTTTTTTTTTTTTAAAGATTTATTTATTTATTTATTTATTTGACAGAGAGATCACAAGCAGGCAGAGAGGCAGGCAGAGAGAGAGGAGGAAGCAGGCTCCCCGCTGAGCAGAGAGCCCGATGCGGGGCTCGATCCCAGGACCCTGAGACCATGACCCGAGCTGAAGGCAACGGCCCAACCCACTGAGCCACCCAGGCGCCCCAGAATTTTTTTTCTTTAAGATTTTATTTATTGGGGCGCCTGAGTGGCTCGGTGGGTTAAAGCCACTGCCTTCGGCTCAGGTCGTGATCCCAGGATCCTGGGATCGAGCCCCGCATCGGGCTCTCTGCTCGGCGGGGAGCCTGCTTCCTCCTCTCTCTCTCTGCCTGCCTCTCTGCCTGCTCGTGATCTCTGTCTGTCAAATGAATAAATAAAATCTTTAAAAAAAAAAAGATTTTATTTATTTATTTGACAGAGAGAGAGAGATCACAAGTAGGCAGAGAGAGGTGGGGGAAGCAGGCTTCCTGCTGAGCAGAGAGCCCGATGCAGGGCTTGATCCCAGGACCCTGGGATCATGACTTGAGCTGAAGGCAGAGGCTTTAACCCACTGAGCCACCCAGGTGCCCCCACAATGAAGAATATTTGATATGAGTTACTGAGAAGTGCCCCCACTGAATCACTAGACCAGTGGAAGATTTTCTAGTATTCTTTACAGTATGTAAAATATGGTTTTGCACCCACTGTATACTTGTGTAGGGATGGATATACTATCTATTTTGAACAGCTATGGAATAACTTTTTTTTCTTTTGCTAGGCCTTAGTGACCATTTCTTTTTTTTCTTCTTTTTCTTTCTTTCTTTTTTTTTTTTTTTTTGGTGACTTGTATGGGGATCAGATTAGCAACAGTTTTATATCTCTCTGTGCCTTTGTGAAAACAAGAAATTAATTTTTTTGTAAAATAAAAGATTGAGGGTTTATGCTATATTTAAATAACATGTCTAGCTTTAATGTAGCTATAAGCCAAAGGTAATTAATGAAACCTTACAGAAAAGAATGCTCATTGAAAGATTTTTTAATTAAATATGTAGTTGCTATAGGTTTCATTGATGGAAAAAAGTATGATGTTGAAGAATTCAACCTGACTTCTTATATACTGAGAGAACTAATGTTTCCAAACTGTACAATAATAAAAAATATGTTTTTAAAAGATTTTATTTATTCTTTTGACAGAGAGAGAGAGAGAGAAAGAGAGGGAACACAAGCAGGGGGAGTGGGAGAGGGAGAAGCAGGCTTCTCGCTGACCAGGGAGCCCAATGCGGGGCTCTATCCCAGGACCCTGGGATCATGACCAGAGTTGAAGGCAGAAGCTTAACAACTGAGACACCTAGGCACCCCCCAAAATAAATAATCTTAAAAAGGGATCTTAAAAATATTCATAATTTTTAGGGATGCATATTGAAGTATGCACAACTGAAATGACAGGATGTTTGATATTTACTTTTTAAAGAAAGTGGAAAAAAAAAGAGAAAGATGGGGCATGTGGGTGGCTCAGTCATTTAGTGTCTGCCTTTGGCTCAGGTCAGATCCCAGGGTCCTGGGATCAAGCCCTGCATCAGACTCCCTGCTCTGTGGGAGGCACGCTTCTCCCTCTCCCACTTTCCCTGCTTGTGTTCCCTCTCTTGTTGTGTCTCTCTCCATTAAATAAATAAAACCTTTAAAAAAGAGAGAGAGAGAGAGCAAGAATAATAACATCTTGAATTTTATTATCTTGATAACGTATGCATGGGAGTTCATTATACTACTCTCTCTACTATTGTATATGTCTGATATTTCTTCGCAAAAAAGAATAGGTCCTACAATCATAAATCTTTTAGTTGACTTAGCTCATTTAATATTTAATTATGATTTAGTGGACTGTAACTGATTTTGACAAAATTTATGGAAATGTTAAATGTTTTAGTGAAAGCTGCACATATATATTGGTCTTTCTTTTGGAAATCAGTATCAATGTTTGGTCTTGCCAATAGGGATACAAAAGACTGGTTAGGAGATTTTTTTTTTCTTTTAAAGTAGGTATGTGACAGGCTTCAGGATAAAATTGTAAATTAGTTACTTGTGTTAGGAAGCTCTTATTACCATTTTCTTTAATCTGAATTTCCTTTTTCTTGCTACAAATACCTAGGTGTCTCTAAATGCTTGATCAGGGCTATACTTTCATAATAGAAGACTAATAATTAATATACTAAGGGAATTTTAGGATTTGGAACTAGTATTTGATACTGTATTTGGGACTTTAATGCCTTTGCCTAGTTTTGGTATCAAAATAATGTTAGTCTAAGAGGTATTCTGTGTGTTCTGGAAGAGTTTGCATCCCTTGAGTACGTTTTAAAATATCATTTAAGTATAATTTACATACACTAAAGATACTTTTGTGTGTAGTTCAATGAATTATGGCAAATGTATATAACCATTTAACTACAACAATTAAGATATCAACATTTTCATTACCTGAAAAAGTCCCCTTGTTCCCTTTTACAATCAATCTCCACTCTCCTCCCCTTTTCCCTGGGCTCTGACAGCCACAGATATACTTTCTATCACTATAGATTAGACTTGTCTTTTCTATAGTTCCAATTAATTCAACTTATATAAAGGGTACTCTTTGTATCTAGTTTCTTTCCCTTAGCACAAAGGATTTTGAGATTCACTCATGTTGTTATGTGTATCAGTAGCTTTTTTGGTTTCTTTTCTGAATAGTATTCCTTATCAATAGCAATAGCACATACCACATTTTTTTTTCCTCCTAGTCTGGGGCTATTATGATGAATAGGATTGCTATG